GGCCCAGGAGCAGCAGCAGCCCCCACAGGAACAGGAGGCCGACACCTCAGGCTGCTCGGGCGGCTCGGGCGGCTCGGGCGGCTCGGGCGGCGCGGGCGTCTTGCGGGCGACAGCACGGGCGGCTGGGGCGGCTCGCGGGTGGCTCACGGGCGGCTGGGGCGGCTCGCGGGCGGCGAACGGGCGACTTACGGGCGGTTGGGGCGGCTGCACGGGCGGCTCGAGGGCGGCGTCGGCTGCTCACGGGCGGCGTCGGCGGCGACGGCGGCGTCAGCGGCTCACGGGCGGCGTCGGCGGCGTCGGCGGCGTCGGCGGCTCACGGGTGACGTCGGCGGCGTCGGCGGTGCACGGGCGGCGTCGGCGGCGTCGGCGGCGTCGGCGTCGTGGGCGGCTCACGGGCGGGCGGCTCACGGGCGGGCGGCACACGGGCGAGCGGCTCACGGGCGGCGGCTCACGGGCGGCGGCTCACGGGCGGCGGCGTCACGGGCGGCGGTTGACGGGCGGCTGCGCTGACGGGTGGCGCTCACGGGCGGTGCTCACGGGCGGCGCTCACGGGCGGCGCTCACGGGCGGCGGCGCACGGGCAGCAGCGCACGGACAGGCCGCGGGCGGCGAACGGGCGCTAGGGCGGGCGCCGGGCGCTAGGGCGCTAGGGCAGGCGCTAGGGCGGGCGCTAAGGCGGCCGCTAGGGCGGGCGCTAGGGCGCTAGGGCGGGCGCTAGGGTAGGCGCTAGGGCGCAAGGCGCTAGGGCAGAAAAAAAAAATCTAAGTGGTGGGCCCTAAGCACAGTTCCCACAGGGGAACCTGCTCTGATTCCATGAGAAGAAGCAAACGAGAATGGATGAACTATGAATGAAGTGAGTACAAATATGAAACCCTAATTGGGTTGTACCCCCTATGGGATACCCCACTATAGCCTTCACAAATAAGTAAGCTATAATGTTCTGACAGGAACTGTGGAGGGAAAGAAGATGGGAGGCAACGACTGAAGCTGCAGAGGCACGGGCACAGGAGCGGCTGACTCAGTGGCTACCGAAGCAAGGGCGACGGACTACTGGAGTAACTGGCTCTGCGGCTATAGACGAGCGGCAGGAGCAACGGACCCACTGGCGACTGGTGCAACAGGCTCACTGGCTACCGAAGTAAGGGCGACGGACTATAGGCGCTGCAGGCAACACGACAGCTACCTTCACACAACCCCCTCCAGCAGCACCACACCCTCGACACACACCCCCTGCTCAAACCCTAGTTCCACTCCCACAGCACCCCCCTTTCACACACCCCTTGCTGCACCCTAGGTTCACTCACACCCCACCCCCTAGCACCACTCCGTCGACTCCCACACACCCACCCCCCTCAGCGGCAGCTGCAGCAGTGGGAGACAGAGGAGGAGGAGGAGCAGGGGAGACCACACACCCGCCACCCCCTACTCGCCACCCCCAGACCCTAACACAGGGCAGGGCGGGACGGCGGGTAGGGAGGTTACGGGGGGGGGGGGAGGAGGGGGCCGACGCGCGGCCTCCCAGGGCGCCAAAAACAGGCGGCAGAAGGGGCGACGCTCGCCCTCCCCCTCAGGTCGTCCCTCCCATCGCCTGTCGAGGCGACCTGAGGGGGCCGCGAAAAGAGGGGGGGGGCGGTGCACGGGCCCCCGGTGCGCCGCGACAGGCGACGGAGCATGGCCGAGGCGGGGCCGGGGCAGGGTCGAGGCAGGGCCGAATGGGGCGGCGACGGGGCCGCAAGTGGCGGCGACGGGGCCGATAGGGGCGGCGACGGGGCCGCTAGGGGTGGCGACGGGGCTGCTGGTGGCGGCGACGGGGCCGATAGGGGCGGCGACGGGGCCGCGAAGGGGCCGCAAGGGGCCTGGAAGGGCGGCGACGGGCCGCTAGGGGCGGCGACGGGGCCGCGAAGGGGCCGCGAGGGGCCTGAAAGGTCGGCGACGGGGCCGCTAGGGGCGGCGACCGGGCCGCAAAGGGGCCGCGAGGGGCCTGGAAGGGGGGCGACGGGCCGCTAGGGGCGGCAACGGGGCCGCGAAGGGGCCGCGAGGGGCCTGAAAGGTCGGCGACGGGGCCGCTAAGGGCGGCGTGAGGGGCCGTGAGAGGGGCCTCTAGGAGGGGAAGAAAAAAAGTCCGTCGCACGCCACGGGGCGTGCAACACACAAAGTAGCAGCGAAAGCAGCTAGATGGGCCCACAGGCCAGGAGCGTAGATGCTCTGATAGCATGTGAAGAAATGAGGAAATGAAGAAGAGAGGTGTTGCACTAGCAGCAGTTGGCATACATATAGGAAACCCTAATTGGGTTGTACTAGCTATAGAGTACCCCACTGCAGGCTAGACAATTATAACATTCTGACATTTTGGGGTTCGTCAACTACATGCGCCGGTTCGTCCCTGACATGGCGAAGCTGACTGCCCCGCTGACAGACCTGCTGAGGAAGGGGGTTGAGTACACGTGGGGGGAGAAAGAGCAAGCTGCCTTCTCGGCCCTCAAAAACATTTTGTGCTCACCGCCCGTGCTGCACATCGCAGACCCACACCGTCCGTTCGAGCTCGTCACTTACGCGAGTGACATCGTTGTGGGAGCAGTATTGTTGCAGGATTTCGGGAACGGCCTCCAACCAATCGCGTATGAGTCCCGCAAGCTGCACCCGCCCGAACGCAACTACCCGATACACGACCGCGAAATGTTGGCGATCGTGCACGCGTTCAAGGTATGGCGGTGTTACCTGAGTGGCGCCGACGTGACAGTACGGACAGACCACCGATCACTACAGTACTTAGGCGCTCAACCAAATCTCAATCCACGACATATTCGCTGGTTGGACTACCTCGAGTCCAACTTCCACTATACGGTTACATACAAGAAAGGCGCATCCAACATCGCCGACGCACTGACCCGCCCTACCGCCCAACTCCACGCCATCCTACTCGCCCAGACCAACCCGCTTTTAACAGGCCTTTTTACCCACGGATACCGCACCGACCCATTTTTCACGACTGGAAACTCACAGCAACTGGCAGAAGCTAAAGGAGTTTATTACGTAAAAATAGGCACCAACTGCATCTGGGTACCCGCGTACTCACTACTGAGGGAGCTGCTACTGCAAGAGGCACACGACGGAATTACCTCGGGACACTTTGGGATAGAATAAACGCGACAGCAACTGCAGCGGTATTACTACTGGCCGGAGCTGTTGACCGACGTGCAGCAGCATGTGGGCTCGTGCCCCACGTGTCAGGTGATGAAGAGCTCGAGGAAGCGGAAGGCGGGTCAATTGCAGCCGATACCACCGCCCGAGCGCGCCTTGCAGCAGGTCACCATGGATTTCGTCACAGGGTTACCTTTGAACCCTGGGGGTAACGACGTGGTGATGGTCGTCGTTGACAGGTTGACGAAGATGGCACACTTCGCTGCATGCAAAAAGTCGATCTCAGCCGAGGAAACCGCTCGTCTGTTCATCGCAGCCGTTGTTCGCCTGCACGGGATACCAGCAGCAATTATCAGCGACAGGGACACGAAGTTCGCCAGCAACTTCTGGAAGAACCTCTGGGAGCAGTTCGGGACCAGGCTACAGTTCAGTTCGTCGTACCACCCCGAGACCGACGGTCAAACGGAGCGGACGAATGAGACGATGGAGCAGTTTATTCGTGCCACATGGGACGACCCCACGACCTGGGAGCAGCAGCTGCCGCTGATCGAGTTCGCGTACAATAATGTCACGTTAGCGACGACGCAGCAGTCCCCCTTCTACCTGAACTACGGGCAAAACCCTACAGTGCCCATGACGCCGAGTCCGGACAACCCAACACCACGTGCATAGCAATTTGCCGAAATTGTGCAAGCTGCCCGCACCAGAGCCGCATAAGCAATTACAAAAGCAAAAGTCATCGCTAAGCGCAACGCTGACCGCCACCGCCGCCCAGTCACATACCAGTCAGGGGATTACGTACTGCTCGACACGCAAAATCTGCGACTGCCCGACGTACCAAAACCTCGACCGCGCTACTGTGGCCCATTCCAAATCAGCCACATGATCACGCAAGTAACCGCGCACCTACTGTTACCGACCGACTGGTACATCAGTCCTTCGTTCCACGTCAGCTTGCTTCGCCCCTACATCCATGACTCGCCCTGCATCAGAGCCGATCATCGCGCCCGAAAAAATCCTGAGCCATCGGATTCGACACCCCACGGGAATCAAGAGGATTGAATTCCTCGTTCGCTGGAAAGATCGCACGCCAACTGAGGACAGCTGGGTGCCCCTGGCCAACATCGAAAACCACCCTGCCCTGCAAGTGTACCTGAGGAGCCGGGGATTCCGCGATATACACGCACTCGCGTAGCGGAGGGGGCTTCTTGAAGAGGGGGGGGTAGTGTAAGGAATTTTCTCAACATTCCTTACGGAGCCCGACTACATTGCGTACAGCAACAGCCGTTGTTCGCCCGTTACTGCTAACGGGGCTTCGCCAACTTCGCGCGCACTGTTTCACCAAACCTCGCACTGCTGGCCTGGCCGTGTCGGCCTACGCTTCGGGACTAGCCCGAGCCTCATTTCCAGCGTAGCACTAGCTAGCTCGCACGCACCGCGTTACCGTTTGCATGTTTCGCGTATAAATCTTCGCTCATGCCTTCGCTCACATTTTGTACTCGTTTGACACCTTAGTGCAATTCTCGCTACTTAGATTCATTGCACCCGTAACAGTTTGCAAAAAACGACTGTACATTGATCAAATCATACACGCGGAGTGTACAATCCCAATTGGAGAATAAAATCAGTCATTCCCTGATCATTCGCCTGAACTCAGGGAATGGATCAGGTAATCCATTCGTGGATGCCTTCCTTGAGAACACCCAGAACACCGAAAGCAGTCAGCTTCTGGTGCTGGGACCAGCTTATGCTTAAACGCCAACAGCCAAACCACCTGTCGAGGCGCTGTAAATATTCTAGATTGCCTTACTTGCCGTCGCTTCTCTTCGCTTGCAGTCGCTTACGGTGCTGATCCGGCCGATGGCGACCCTTCATCTTTCCGTGCCCGTGGCTGCGGCTCTGGCAAGTAGCGGTTTGAGTCGCAGACACCTCAGAAGAAGACAAGTAGTCACCGCTCAAGCCAGTGAGTGTACCTTGTGATGGGTTGTCTTAAAAAAAAAAAAATCTCTTTTTGATATATTCTTGCATTGTACCTGACTGAACTGGTTAAGGGCTTGACAAGGCGCAGAAACGATCATTGGCATGCATGAAGGATGGAAGCAGGAACTTAATCGCTTAGCAATCCCGTGCGTTTATTTGGTTGTTCTGAAACGTTTTTCCTAGGCTTTGACGAGATTATTCATAGTCGAGAGCTGCTAAAGGACTGCCTCCTTGTTTCTGCATCCTTGTCAGGCGGAGACAGCACATTCACGAGTCCCAAGGCGGGGGCTGTAGGGGTGAAGCGGCTGCAGGAGGGAGCTGCACCCGGCACATACTACGGTCCCAAGTACCGCTGCTGTTGCCCTCAACCTTGCTCCACCTCAACTTTTCTTGCGGTTATTTTGATGTCCCGAATCTCGCCTGTTCTCGTGTCACATTCTGAGTCGCGTCAAACGGATCAGAAAGTTATGTGGGACCAGATCATTTGTACGGTTGTCCTTAAAAGATGGTCGCTCCCATGCGTGCATGTGCTCGTGTGTTGTGTGTGTGAATGTTTCATTTATGTCTCACGTTCGTTACATGTATGCTGCCTCATGTGTGTATCATGTATGCACGCTGATGCATGCATGCGCGCGCGCGCGCGCGCGCGCGTGTGTGTGTGTGTGTGTGTGCACTCATGACATGTTGCTCCAGGATCGAGAACGGGAATCCAATCACCGTGGAGTTCGATCTTGGATCTGAAACTGTATGTTCAAGGTAGCAAAGCTCGGTGAGCCTCAAATGTGAGGCGATATTCGAGGCTCTGAGGCGCCTCAGTGACCGTATTGACAACGAAATCCAATCACCGTGGAGTTCGATCTTGGATCTGAAACTGTACGTTCAAGCTCGGACGCTAACTTTGGGTGTTACATGTTGCAAGCTCGGTTCCTCGTTAAAATGATGCAGCTTTAAGTTCAGGCCCTGGTAAAGGCCAGCCCAAAAATGCCTCTTCTTGCAACTACTAGCAAGTGTATACTCAATCCCACTGCTCCTGCATGCCACACCCTGTACCACTCGTGGCATTCACGGCAGATCACAGTGGAGTCAAGGGAGGGCGAGAACCTGCTGCATCTGGCCGAGAGCACTTCGTCAGCGCTTCTAGAAGCAATCAGGAAAGCCTAGTTTTGGGCTACAGAATGTGCACCACTTCTGCCTTGCTCCGTCTGCCTTCCCCTCCACGGCAGATCACAGTGGAGTCAAGGGAGGGCGAGAACCTTCTGCACCTGGCCGAGAGATGTGGCGCCATGAAACCCTCCGAGGTAATCCTTTGTAATGCTATAATGGTTTTACTACTGCACGACTTTGGCTGTGACCACAGAAGGGAAGGATCTTTTCTCCCCCCACGTGCCCATCCCTCCCCGCTGTATCATAAGTTTGCTTTGAAAGGATCTGCTGTCACTGAAATATTAAATCTCATACATGTCAACCCCCCCTCTTCCCCCCTTCTCCACTCCCTGCGTCCGTTACTCCTCATCTATGCCAATAATTCTGCTTTGAGGGGACGTGCTGCCACTGAAATATTAAATCTTATACTCCTCTTAAATCTTAATAATTTCCCCCCCCCCCCTCCCCCCCTTCCCCCCCTCTTCCTGCCCCCCCCCATTCCCCCCCTATGCCAGGAGTTCTGCTTCGAGGGGACGTGCTGCCACTGCGAGATGGAGGTTGAGGGAGGAGCAAGTGAGGTGAGCACTTGATTGCACGACGGATGTGTCTAGATTTTACCAACGACGGATTGCCAAAAAAAGGTTCTGCTTTGAAGGGACGTGCTGCCACTGCGAGATGGAGGTGGCGAGAGGAGCAAGTGAGGTGAGCACCCCATTGCATGGCAGATGATTGGAAGTTACCTTATGTGGCTCAAATACTCTATATTGGATGGAGTCTCTTTTGGCTCAGAAGTAACTCGCATGGCTCAAACACGCTCGCTCACATGTCATGCCCCAATCTTAAGACGCACATTAATAAAACTACTGGTATCTCAATTTTTTTTTTTTTTCCTGTTTACCTACATTTTAAGCGTGCATGTGTGCACTGTGGGTGTTGTGCCATGGGTGGTTTGGGCCTCACTTCTGGAATTCTGAATACATGCCGATTGTTGTAATGATTCGTCGCTCCCATTTTGCTGACAAATCAACCATGCGTGTGTGCAGGCGGGGTATCGTGCCATGGGTGGTTCTGACCTCATTCGCAGCTGCATTTGTCCAGTAAGTTGCAGTTACCTGGTACGCTGCGATTACCCTGTCAGCTGTGTTTTCTCGCTGCAAGATGCATTCACCTACCCACTGCATCCTCTCCCCCCTACTCCCCCTCCCACCCACTCCCAACCCCCCTTCCCCCTCCCCCTCACCCTCCCCCTCCCCCTCCCCCTCCACCTCCCCCTCCCCCTCCTCCTCAACCTCTCTCTCCCCCTCCTCCTCCCCCTCCCCTTCCACCCCTTAGCTCACTAGAAACAGCAGCCACATAATGCGATGAAATGTTACCAAGCGTGTCCGACGACCTGCTATGGTTCCCTCGTGCTTGCAGGTGCCGGGTCGCAACGGCGGAACCCTCAAAGTGCGCATTCTCAGCGAGGAGGACGCGTGGGGGGATGGTGTCCTGTAAGGGGCGGCTGGGGGATAGCTGGCAGTCTTTTTGGTGACTGGGAGAGGTGGTTTTTGTCAGGAGAAAGTGTGAGGTAAATGGTTTTCGGATAAGGGTATGGGTGATGCTAGGAATGGCATGGCATTCTCTGATATGTATGGGCAGCGCAGCGGGCAAATGTTGCCTTGTAAGTGGTATATTATGTTGGTAGATGTTGCATCCAGAGTAGTCAGTTCACTAACTTATCCCAATGTTCCTGCGCAGATCATTTAATCAAGGCTTTCCATCCAGCAAATGTAACTGAGCAATACAAATATACACACAAGTTCACAGACATTCCAAAATAAAAAAAGCATACAAAACAGCATGACGACTGTTGGAAACAATCGGTCCTGAGCGCCTCTGTCGTGTCGAAACACTAAGGCACAAGCGAAGCGAAGCATACCGAAGCACCGGCGAGTCAACCCTCGGAGGTTGAAGCAACCGCTGGAGGTTACTCGAAAGTCAAAGGTCAGCGACCTTTGACCTGACAAGTACAGCGCGACAGCAAGGACACACAACTGACTCGCTACAGAGCAGTTGCCCGAGTCGTCACTGTATCGAACCGCAACAGCAACAGTAAAAGTAGTAACAACCGTATTGTCAAATGTTGTAGCCTGTAGTGAGGTTTGTCTTAGGGGGTACAGAAGTTAGGGTTTGTCATATGTACCCCAACCAACATCAATGCAACATCCATTCCTCATTCTGACATGGTATCAGCTAGGTTAGGATCCTGTGGGATCCCGTTCCTCCGTTCTCCGTTCGTACCTCCCGAGCCTGATCCTACCTCTCGTTCGTACCAGTTTAGTTGTTACCGCGCCTAGTACCGAGCCTAGCATCATCTCCCCCGTCGCGTCGCGCCCGTTCCCCCCGTCGCGTCGCGCCCGTTCCCCCCGTCGCGTCGCGCCCGTTCCCCCCGTCGCGTCGCGCCTGTTCCCCCCGTCGCGTCGCGCCCGCCTGTTCCCCCCCTGTCCCGTCGCGTCGCCCTGCCCTGTCCCGTCGCCCTGTCCCGTCGCGTCGCCCTGTCCCGTACCGTCGCCCTGTCCCGTCGCGTCGCCCTGTCCCGTCCCGTCGCGTCGCCCTGTCCCGTCGCGTCGCCCTGTCCCGTCCCGTCGCGTCGCCCTGTCCCGTCCCGTCCCGTCCCGTCGCCCTGTCCCGTCGCGTCGCCCTACCCCGTCGCGTCGCCCTGCCCTGTCCCGTCGCCCTGCTCCGTCGCGCCGCCCTGCCCCGTCGCGTCCCCCTGTCCCGTCGCGTCGCCCTCCCCGTCGCGTCGCTCCCGCCCTTTCCCCCGTCGCGTCGCCCTCCCTAGGCCCTAGCCCGTCGCCCTCCCTAGGCCCTGGCCCGTCGCCCTCCCTAGGCTCTGGCCCGTCGCCCTACCCTAGGCCCTGGCCCGTTGCCCTACCCTACGTTTTGGCCCGTCGCCCTAGCCCGCTCTTCCGCTGCGACTGAGTCCTCTTCCCCCCCGGTTGTTACTCGCCTGTTCGTTCGCGTTGGTTCTCACTATGGCGACTCCGCGAGTTCTTCGTTTCGACGCTGACGGTAGACCCCTTGACTTTTCCGTCTGGCTTCTTCGCGCTCGTCGTCTGTTAGAGAGTCAGGTCCAGGGGGGCGAGACCCTCTGGTCACACGCTACTGGTGACCTCCCCGAGCCCCCCGAGCCTACCGCTTTAGGCCCTGCTCCTGACGACGCTGCTACGGCTCGCTTTGCCCGTCAGCGCGCTGACCGGACGGCTTGGACGTCGCGTGACGCTGCGGCCTGCATCGCACTCAGCAGCCTCCTCCCTGAGTCCGAGGAGGTCCACTTTACTCAGGTTCGCACCGCTGCTGCGTACCTCACTGCGATTAAGGCCCGCTACTCTACTCCCGCTACTGTCTCTCTCGGCCGTCTTTTCCTCCCGTTCCTGTTTCCTGATCTTGCCTCGTTTGAGCGCTCTGCTGACTTGATCGCTCACCTCCGCTCGCTCGACGCTAGTTACCGCGCTGCTTGCACTGAGGCACAGCTTGCACTGCTTCCTCCCCCCATGGCGATTACTGTCTATTTCATCGCCACTAGCCTCCCTGACCGCCTTGCCTCCGTTCGTGACGCGCTTCTGCTGAAGCACCCTAGTGAGCTGACTATCGAGGTCCTTGAGTCTGCACTCAAGGACGTCGAGAGCAACCTTCGTTCGGTAGCTGCCGCCTCTGGTACTGTGTCCCCCCCACTCTTCCACGGGTGCACAGTCCCGCAATTACCCACCTTCACTGCCTCTCTTGCCACTGCCGCTACTGACGCGACTGCGGCTGCTGTTACGACTGCGTCGCGGTCCCGCGGCAGGGGGGGCAAGAAAGGTGGTTCCGGTGGAGGTGGAGGCGGAGGTAGCGGAGGTAGTGGGGGTGCTGTTGCGACTGGCGGTGGTGGGAGTGCAGCGTCTGGAGAGACCCCTCGTGCAGCGGCTGGTGACTCCACTGCACCTGCTGGTGGCGGCGACCCTCGAGCTCGTCAGTCGCCTCCTGTACTGCCGGCCCCGCTAGGTGGAGCAGCGGCGTGGTACCAGGCTCAGCGTCAGCAGCACCTTCAGCAGCAGCAGCAGCCCCTTTCCTCCCAGCAGCCTCAGCAGCAGCAGCGTCAGCAGCTGGCTCCGGGGTCGGGGCTGCGTCAGCCCCAGCGCGGTGCTGCTTACCCTCCCTGCCCCTACCAGGTTCAGACAGGTCCTCGTCGGGGCCACCCTTGTGGCCGCTTTCACCCCCCTGGTCAGTGCTTTGCTCAGCTCACTGACACGGTCCGGTTGACCTACGGGGTTGGCGGTCCTGCTCCTGACTGGCTTCCTCTGGTTCAGCGCTACGGCTCCGCTCTGTGGGGCATGTCTGCTGAGCAGTTAGTTGATCTGATTAGTGCTCCTCATGCTATGTATGCTGTTGTTGACTCTAGTGTTTCTGACTCTGTTTACTCTGGTGTTGTTAGCTTAGGTGCTAGTCTTGCTCAGTTGCCTGTTGCTAGTGTAGGTACTTGTGTAGACTCTAGACCAGCGACTACCTCAGAGGACGCTTCGCTGTCGTTCACACTGGACTCTGGAGCCTCCCACTGCTTCTTTCGGGACAGCACGACACTTACACCACTTCCTGCGCCTGTTTCTGTAGCGTTGGCTGATCCCACTACGGGACCAGTCACTGCACGTCACACTACCACTTTACCGTGTCCTGCTGCTCCCTCCGGGTCTCTCACTGGGTTTCACGTCCCCTCGTTCTCCCGGAACTTGGTGGGCGTGCGACCCCTAGTGAGTCAGCACGTGGGTGTGTGGTTTGAGCCTTCTGGAGAGACTGCGGTGTGTGTTGACGGAGACTCTTACCAGCCTCTTGCTACCTTTACTGCTGAGCCGGGCTCGGGTCTCTACACTCTTCACACTGGCCCGCGTGCGCCGCAGCAGCAGCCGCAGCAGCAGCAGCAGCCGCAGCAGCAGCAGCAGCAGCAGCAGCAGCAGCAGCAGCAGCAGCAGCAGCAGCACCAGCGGCCGCACCAGCAGCCCCCCCTACTGCCACTGCCCCCGGTTCCCCCCCCCGTTCGGGTCCCCGCGTCTCACCAGGTTGCTACGTCCCCCCAGGTGTCTGTGTCGTGTCAGGTTCCTACGTCTGTTCCAGTCGCTGCGTCGTGCTCCTGCCGGTCGCTTGCCCACCCCACCGTTCTGTGGCACCACCGGATGGGGCACCCGTCCCTTCCACGTCTGCGCGCTATGTCTAGTCAGCGTCTTGTCCTAGGCCTCCCACGTGTCTTGCCGTCGCTGCCGCCTTCGCCTGCGCCGCCGTGTCGTCCCTGCGTCGAGGGTAGGCTGCGCGCCACCCCTCACTCCTCCTCCCTTCGTCCGGCCACCGAGCCTTTTGAGACGCTTCACTTGGACGTCTGGGGCCCAGCCCCTCGTCTAGGCCCTGAGCGTGAGCGTTACTTTCTGGTGGTAGTTGACGACTTCTCCCGCTACACCACAGTGTTCCCTCTGGCGAAGAAGTCTGAGGTGACTTCTACGCTGATCAGGTGGTTGCTCACCACTGAGGACACTCGTGGTCGTCGTGTCAGCTGTCTCCACTCCGACCGTGGGGGT